TAGATTTTGTTTTGATATTACATTTAAAATTATAGTTTTATTTTGCAAAATAAGTTGTCAGAAAATAAAACATTGTTATATTATATATATATATATATATATATATATATATGTATATATATATACATACATAAATAAATTTATAATATATACATATACATATTAAAAATTTATATATTAAAAATTGAAAAGTTAAAAAGTGCCAAATATATCTGTATTTAGAATTATATAAATTGCATTTTATAAATGTCTTTCTTTTACTTTTGAATTCCAGAGATGTTTAAATAATTTGTATCTCTGTTTTTTTTATGAATGATATATGTCTTATTATCAATCCAAGACAAAAGCATATATAAAAACATTCAATATTTTTAATGATTTATAGGTCAATTTTAAGCATAATCGTATGATTCGTAATTTGTTCTCGTAAGAGTAAAAATTTATGACTAAATGCTTATAATTTTACGTAATATGTCTACAGACAACTTCTTGCTAGTCGCACAATTTACGAGAACTTATAGGTACTTACAAATTATCGTACATCTTACGACACGCAATTACAATTTCAGTTATAAGGTCTTACAATTTTTACAAGGACAACTTAAGCTTTACGATTCGGCTTAGAATTAAAATAAAAAATATAAGGGCAATTTCTTCAAAACTACACATGATTGACAATTTTTTTGCGATTTCATGAATCTTTAAAAAACGGAAAGTGCTGATCTTGTTTCTGTGCTTTTCAAAAAATAATGCATTTATATATCGAAAATGACTCGTTGCATTATAGGTTGCTATAAGAGTACACTTACTGGTCCTGGATATGATGTTGCATTTCGTTTTAACTGCCAAAATTGCGAGGGCGATCGCCAAAACGATGCATAAGAGGAACCCGAAAATCGCTATCATCGTTAATCCGCGTTCTAAACTGGATCGTCTTTTCCACCATGTCGAGTTTTTACATGAAAAAAATATTGAAAAATGAAAATTGTAAAGAATTGACGCAATCAAAATTACATTGTTCCTAAAAAATATACGTTTGGCGTGTAGTTTTTTGAAAAGGATTACTGCTACTACTGTGGGCAATTTTTGTTTTTGATGACTATTGCAACTCACCTGACAGCAGTTTCTTCCATGCTGTTGGTCATCGTGATTAGAATAGTATTCTCTATGTCTTGCTGAGGTGTATCTTTTTTTCTGATTCTCACTAGTACGTAACCACCTACTCTTTCTGTGTCTTTTCCTTTTGTGTCCCGGTTTTTAATTCAATTGGAGTTTCACAATCGTTTCTAGAACGTTAATCGCGAAGATTTTTAATGATTCGTAACCACGACGTTATTCTCGTTTCCTTGAAATTT